TTTCGCAAAAAGGGCAAATAATTAGTTGTAATTAATTTTTTTCTCTATTTTCAAAAAATAATGGAAATCAATGAACCTGTTTTGCATTTTTTGTCCATTATCGGCTACATGGGATGGACCTTTAGAATCGAGTGTGGGTGTCATTTGGTTAGGAGAAGCAGCTGCTCGAGTAACAAAGAATCGTTTGAAGCCAGGTATTCATCGAGTTGTGTACCCTAAGATTGCTGGCATTCGACTAACGATGTGGTATGAAGTATGTACAACCACACAGCTAAAGAGTCTGAGTGAAGAGAAACAGAATGAAGTGATGGCTGGTGGAAACGTGGTGTTCGATAATCTTCCTGAATCGAGAGCTTTTCTTGCGCAACCCGGTGAAAGCAAAATCCGGTTTCTCAGACGAGTTGAAATAGCAAGTGGATTAACAATAAGTAAAGCAGGTCTACCGCGATATGAATTGGAGCAGCATAACATTTCATATCCACCAAATCCAATCCATGACTCGCTAAATGAATAAACTATATCTTTTGATTATTCTCTCGTATCAATAAACACAGCTCTATAACCTTGAATAGCATTCCAATCGTCTAAAAGAGAAAATTAGTTGTGTCACGAGTTCTGATGAAGCAGTTTGAAGGGATCTGGATGTTTGTGCTGTTTGCATAGATTAGTAATACCCATTGTTTGAGATGGCGCTACGATGTTTGCTACAACCGCCCACAGAATTACATTAACACTCATCATCTATCAAATTCAGCTTTAATTTAGCATAAGCATGTTCACCCTCACACCCTCATCCGAAAGAGTTTTATCTTTATTTTCCTTTTAATAAAAATGTAAATCGTTAAATGAAAAAAAAAATAGAACAAAGTTAATATTCATCTCATGCTGATCAATCGCTCCTGCACTCAATATCTTCATCTCGGCACATCCTTGCTTGGAACTACCGTGGTGTTTTCTCTTTTTGATTGTTGGAACATAACTTTGTTCGTAGAGCAATGATTTGTTGATTGATTTTAGATGAGTGCCATTGTTTCCAATAGAAGGATGATGGATAAATGTAAATGTAAAACATCATCATTTGAGGAATAAATGTAAGAAAATAAAATAAAATGAGAATATATCGAATAGAATTATATTCTAAATTTTGACAACCTAAGGATAAAGAAATTATAAATAATGGGAGAGAAAAAAGAGAGAAGATTGATGGAACAAGTGTAATAGCAGGTCGAGCAATCATTTCTCGATTTTCAATCAATACACTCTGCAAAACGGTTTTACGATCTCGAATCTCGTTGTTATTTACTAAAATCAGACGAAAAATCTTAGAAATTCGTTGAAGAAATTATTTAAAAATAACTGAACTTACAGTTGGTAATCATTTGAATGTTCATTTTGTTTTTAGTAACAATACTCATAATGGTCAATGTTGAACAAAGATTGATTAATAAAGGTAAAACAATATTACTAATGGAAACAAATTGATGAATGAAGATCCATGTTGATCTGTTAATCGTCGGAAATTCAATAACACATATAGTTTTATGTGAATCCTCAAAAGTAGTGAATGATTTTACGAAAATAAGTTCGTAAGCTGAAGAAAGAAAAGTGAAAACAATGCTGCCGAATATGAGAAAACGAGCAATATGTGGCTGTTTGAAGCAGTTTTTGTTGAAGAATATTGTTGTATAAATGCGTTCAATAGCGACAAATGATGATAACCAAGAACTAAGACGAGTAAAACAGATGAGAAGATAATTGAAAAGTTTGCACAACAAATCATTGATTAACGGAGATGAAGATCCAGAAAGAGTTATGCCGATTATTAGATGAAGTAAACGAATGATTAGAATAATAAGAGTAACTTGATTGATAATACTCATCCAGAGAAGATAATGGCCAACGCCATGACGTTGACAAGATGGATGACGAAGTGTGACATAAGAGAAGAAATTATTTGGAAAAGACACAAATAATAAAAGAAAGGAAAAAACGATCAAAAGAGAAATTGTTCTTTGTTTGTTATCAGAAAGAAAATCAAAATAAAATAGTTGATCCAAAGTGAATGAGAAAGATTTTGTATTAAATTGACATTGTTGACCCGAAGAACACGGTGGACAAAGACAAATGAAATCAGTTCTTTGATAAGGATCTCCTCTTAAACAATGACTATTCGACAGACAATGAGAACATTGATCAAGTTCATTATCATAGAGAAAACATTCGACTTGACTATGATTATCTGTACAAATACATAGATAAACATCATCTCGAAAACAAATCCGATTGGGATGTTGAATGCACAATTGATGATATCGAATTGGTGAAGAATCTGAAAGATATTTGATTTCAGAGAAAATATTATCAATAATGATAACTAACCGTTGGAGAATGTTCGAATATGATCACATCGATTGTCTGGAGATATTTCTGTTTTTGCATGTAGAGAAAACAGATTGAGATTACGATATAACGACAGTAGATAAACATCTGATGAATAAAAATCATCAACATCGAGATAAATTTTCGTCAAAACAATATCGGGTAAAACAGCCTTTTGATCATCATATTGAAAATATTCAATTAAAGAAGGAAGTATTTTGAAGACTTGTTGATCAACGAGAGTAAGTTGAAGGAAAGTCAAATCAATTTGAAGAAATTGTATCACTACTCCACTATGTGAAATATTATTCAAAAGAGACAAATGCATTGATGGTCTTTTCCATTGACATAAAGGTCCACGATATTGTCTTGTACAAAGACAAATGATTTGATCAGGTTGACTTTGAGAAATACAAGATCCATTATTTAAACAAGGATTAAAATGACATTGATCATGTTTGATTGTACATCTTTCACCAAATCGATTCAGAGAACATAAACAAAATGGTAATGAGAAACGTTTTTTATCCGAAAGTATTAAAGAATTCGGTTGACATAAAGATCCTCTTGAACAATAACCCGTAAGACAATGTTGATTTTCTTCGGAACAATTTTCTCCAGTAAAATTTGATCGACAAAGACAAATATAATGAGATTTATTATTCATCAATGGATAACATTGTTCATTAGAATGACATGGTTGACTTGAACAAGGATTTCGTTCATCAAAATTTGTATCAAAATGAAGAATTTTTGAAAATCGAAAAACAGGAAGATAATCAAATAGTATTGGATATTTCCAGATTGCAATTAATAATGGTAATTTATCTATGGATATTCGATAAAGTTCAATACGAATTGAATAAGGATGATCATGAAGAAGATTAGATCGATTGAAAAATCGTTTTCGTCGTTCGTCGATCGAAAGAAATGAACGAGAATAAAGAAAATGTGTCAACATCTTGTCATTATGAATAAACATTGATTGAGATATTGATTGAAAGGAAAACTCACTTCTCATTAATATTTGATTATTAGAAAGAAAAAGAACAAAAACTTTGAAAACAAAGTTGGGATCTTCTTTGAATAGACGAGTTGATTCCGAAAAATTTAGCTGAAGAAGAATTGATAATCGATCAGCATGATATTCACATTTATCTCCGTAATAGAATGGAGGACAAAAACAAACAATCGAGTGCGTTTCTACGCTAAAGACGCTGAGACCACGATTGCACCAATATGGAGATAAGAATAGCGAAGTTGAAGATGAATTTTGTAATGAATAATTTGTAAAGATCGAAGAAAGAAGTAAATTTGTCGTATTCGCATTTGTTGGATATGGAGACCATCGAACTGTGTATTTCATCATTCGTCGAGTCATTTGTTTCATTTCACGACGAGAAACTCGTGTTAATTGAAATGAACTCGAATAATCACACATGTATTCATCTTCACCAAATAGACAATCAATTTGGAGATTACATCGACCACGTTTCAGACATTGACCGTTGAAACAAGTAAAGCTGTTTGGGCTAGAACAATTCGATGATCCATATTGACGAGAACACCACAATTCATCATCGGATTGATTTGGACATCGATTATCAACAGAACAATGAAGATAATAAGGGATACAAGTATGTGTTGATGGACAGAGAAAATTTGGTCCAAGTACCGATGATTGAACACAATGTTGAGGTGTTGTTTGTTCATCAAATGCTCCAGCACAATCAATACGACCATCACCAATCTGACTAAAATTGATACACGAAAAACCTTGTTGAATTGATTGTGCGGAGAGACACATAAATGGATGTGTTTGATTACAAGTACTCGGAACGAAATACGATCGATTGGTAAAATTATGTCGAGCTGCTGCTCGAAATACGCGTTCAGTTATGCGTTTCAGTCTATTGTATTCATCTGAAACATCTGTACAGTCCCAATCACCATCGGACAGCCAAGATTGTAAAATACATTGTCCAGTACCACATCGTCGTTGACGCTCAGGACAAATCCAAAATTGTTGACAGTCAAAGAGATTTTCATCTTCACCTCTTTCAAGATCCCAAAACGTATCTCACTTCGATTTATGACTGGTGACGTCCATGACTGATCAATATATCGACGAAGAAATAAACATTCATCTTGTTTTTCATTATTACAACTTATTGAAGAGATTTCTCGATCTTCTCCAAACCACAATTGATCGAATTTGTTGCGACAATCGGCATTTGAATCTCCTAAATTTGACACACTAAGACATGTTGGTTGTTCTATAGAACAATGAAAACGATGACGTCGGACTTGACTACAACTGTTTTCAATCTCAATCTTTGTTTGTACGATTTCATCTTGTTTGTTAAGACAATTTAGCCATCCATCATTGATTCGACTCTTCGACATACATGAATTCCATTCTTCACATCGATCAGTTGAATCGTTTGCACGATGGCATATTCGTTTAGGTTGAACGTTCTGTAACCACGAAACATTTCTTAATGGTTGACAGAAATGAATTTGAATTATTTGACGTGAATTAAAGTCTGTTGCGAATGGAATCGTTTTTATTACAGTGACAAATGTATCGTGACATCGAATTGTTCCATTGATTAAAATAAAATCAGGTAGTTTGCTTTGCCAATTTCTTGTGCGATTATAAAAAAAGAATAAAAACGGAGCAATGATTGATTTGTTTGGGTACGGGATTATTGGTGAACAGATTTGTTCAATGTTCTTCTCACATTCAGTACTTTTAAAACAAACACAACTATTATCTTTGCCCTGTGATAATGCACATTTGAGAAGAAACTCACATTGCTTCTCAATACTCGCATTCATCGTTAATAATCCTTCGTAACTTTCATGACCACCGGTAGAACATCTTCCATTTGACATTGTCCAAAGTTGAACAGTTTTGTGAGTTTCACACATAAAATATTGATCTCGCCCACTTAAACAAGTTGAAGGAAATCCTGGTTTCTGAAAATCCGATCGGTCTGAAATACATTCTCCATCGCCACATGACCATTGTGTCTGTCGACAGATATGATCATCACATTTAATATTCGCACGCTCTTCCGAGCAGGTCGTACTCTTTTTGAATTGCATCTCATCTGACCAATCAAGACAATCGAATTCTCCATCGAGAAAAAATTCTTCAGGAATACACATTCCATTTTCACATCGATATTCATCATTCTCACACGAATTCATTTCTAATAAATCACAGTTTTCTTCGTCAAAACCAAACATACATTGTTGAATTCCATCACAAATATCTCGCCAATCGAGACATAACGCACCTGAATCACATCTTAATGTTTCGTAGCAAATTATATCTCCATACATTTGCATTCTCAAACGATTTCTATTACGAATTTCCAATTGTCGATCGAGAGCTTCTGGAAATGATTTACCTATCGGTAGTTCATATTCGCAATTCTTTCCAAATGTTGATGAAGAATAACATTCACAAAGATATGCATCTGGTTCCGACGAATTTTCGAGATAATGTAAATATTGCTCGACTCGTTCGAGACTAGATTTCCATTGATGTAGGATTGTACTGATAGAGATGTTCTTCAACATAATTTCACTAAATCGATACAGTCGTCCACCATTCCTTTCACATGCTATTTTGTCATTATCTCGCGTCAAATTAATCGGTTGTGTTGGACGACGACAATAAAAGAGAGAATAAAGAAGAACACAATCATACGCCTCAACGTCAATATCATCGTTTGTATTGTGCAGGTAGATACTACTGTTGACATATAATACATTGAATAAAATAATACTCACCTTGATTAAGAAAATCATTTTATGCTTGAAATGAATATTATTCACCTATAACGGTAATGAGAGACAACTGACAACAATTTTCAGTAAAAATGAGAATGATAGCTTAGTAATATTTGTCATACAAAAACCTGACTTACGTTAGCGATATTTTACATCACGGTCTGTTGATTGAATATACGTTTGTTATTATTGGTATAGATTATGTTTCAAAAAGAATTAGGATTTTGTCACGATCCAGAATTTATTTATCGCATCAGCAGATAATGGAACGTTTTTATCAATTTATTGAAATTTTTAATGAAATCTCATGCATTTCCAAATAAGTCTCACTTTATCTTGAGGGCAAGAGTCTAATTACGGTGAGAATCCGCTGATACATCGACACAGTCGATCAGTACAAATAAATCTTTCAGGAAAAAAAAAGAAATACTCTGTAACGAATGAGTTCAAAAACACTAAATTCCACTAACTTCTCAGCATAATCAAGTATAGTGCTAATATCTAGTCATCGAAAGTTAGAAACATACCCTCACCCTCGTGACGTCTGCTCTATCGGATAAAATTTATTAGAAAATCGATCATTTTCGGAATTTATTTTATTGGTGAAATTATCTTTTTATAAATAAAAAAAAAGTAAATGTGAATTATACGTGACACACAACAAATTTTGCTCTTAAAAGTTGAGAAAAAAACTTATTGATTATGACTGATCTTTGTAAATTTATAAATCAGTATTATTATAGGTTGATAAAATATAGATTGAGCATACTAATACTGTCAAATAACAGAACTCTATTTTTTGTTTTGTTTATTGAATAGTTTTCAATTAATGATATCACAAATACCTTTATCATCATAATTTCAATAGTGGTGTTGAGTGTTATTAGGTCTGTATTGCATTTTTCTCACTCGATTGATACCATTTTGTACATTTCGACACAAGTAATATTTTGAAGAATGATAATTCAGATAAATTCGTAATTCTTCACCGTAAGATATCAATGCATTTTCTCTATCGCCTATTTCTTCATATAAACATGCTAAAGGATTGAAATTATATGATAACTTAAAATCAGTATCTGATAAATATCTTTGGCGTATTTTCAAAGCTTTTTTATAATAATTGATTGAGTCGTCAATTTGGTTTCTTGATCTGTATATTGATGCAATTTGTTGAAGTGAATCAGCTAGACTTGGATAATGTGTAGGTTCATTAGTTTGTCGAAAATCTAAAGCTTCTAATCGAAGATCAAGCGCCTGTTGAGAATTGTCTTAATCTTCAGATATTAATGCAACATCTTCGAGAATTCTAGGAATATGAAACCATAAGTCTGTGTTTGCATAGTTTCGAAAAATTTCTAGTGAGTTTTGGTAATAATCACGAGCCTCCGACGAATCTTTTAACTTATAAAACATTCTAGCGACTTGATAGAGATTCCAAGCAATGTGGTGACTATTGGGCAGTAAGTATTTTTCTCGAAGTTTTAATGCTTCTAAATGATAATCTAATGCTTCTTTGAATTTCTTTTGAGCGGAATATACATTTGCAGTATTTGCATAAAAAAATGCGTTCATAACATGATCTGGTTTTAAAGCTTTTCGAATTTGTAATGCTTCTTCTTGGTATTCCAATGCTTTTTTAAAGTCTTTCCGATATAGATAAACGCGTCCTATACTGCTGTTGAATTGGGCAAGTCCAGATCGTGATTGTGTATCGTCATGTTTTTTTAAAATATCAATTGCTTCATGATATAATTTCAAAGCTTCTTCATACTTTCGTTGTTTTGTATAAACTAAACCTTGATTATGACGAACATAAGCTGAATATATTCTATCTGCAGATGAATTAGAATTGAAAGTCTTTTGAAATGCTTCTTCCAAATGTATTAATGCTTGTGTATATTCCTTTTTATCTTTGAGTGCAATACCATATCGATTGTGAATATGGGCAGGATTCTCATCATCATTACGATTTTCCAATAAATTACGAAGAAATCGTAAAGATTTCTCAAATTTTCCCATTCTTTTTAATAATATGCACAACATAATTCGTGGACCTTCTTCTTTCATTTGAGCTCGATTATGTTCCATATGATTTTGTCCTAATGGATTTTCTTCACAAATTGTTGTTATTTTAATTATACACAATTTTGTATGATCTTCTTCTATTTCGTCAATACTTTCAATCCGAAAACTCGATCCAGCATCAAATAAGATTTCCTGTTCATTGAAACAACTTGAATCCGTTATATCAGCAAAAATAGCTGAATTTTGTTGATCGTCTTTATTAAATTGGATTTCATAGAGTACTGCAACCATATCTGTCTGATGAATAGACCTTTTAGCAAATGTTAGTGCACATGAACGATCGCGACTTGTTGACCAATAGCTATTTACTGCAAATGAATTTTTAATATTTGCTTTTAATCTTTCGAATTCTTTTTTAGTAGTTGAAACACCACGATATAAGGTAAATTGTTTTTCATCTTCATTTTTCATCTGTTGATATTTTTCGGCGAGTTGTTTTGAGAGATCAGAAATATAATAGCGAAATTTATATAATTGTTCAATATCTTCTGTACACAAAGCTCTATTAATCAATTTGTAAACAAATGTATCGTTTGTATACCACCAAATACATTTTTCTTTGCAATATTCTGTTTCAAATTGGTCAACAGCTCGCAGCATTCGTTGGTTATTTCGATAAAATTTTCGACAAATATCGAGCATCTCTGGTTTTGCTTGCTTATCATCAGGTAAATGGTGAATAACGTCTTTGAATAGTCGAAACCAAAGAAATTCTGATGATTGATCTTCTAAATCTCGAGTACCTTGTTGATATTGACCATAAAAGGAGACGACTTCCATTTGTCTATGAAGCATTTTTATATTTTCTTTGATAGATTTGATAAGAGCTTCTAATTTGTCAAATATACAACGTATTTTATGAAAGTCACTATATGAATGTCCATCTTCTTGTGGTATTCCGGGGAAAACAAAAACTGAATCCAGTTGAGATAGTTTATTAACTTCTGAAAGACAAGCAGAAACTTGATTTTCTGCGATAATCAAAAATATTTTTTCCTTTCTTGACTTAATATCATTAATACATTCATCAATAACATTATGAATACGAATAGAATTATGCACGGTTTGTAACTCATCTTGAATTTCATCGATATTGTTCGGTGTATCTGTAGTTGATTTCAACCATATCAATACAATATCTTCTTCCATTTAATCTATCTCAAAAAAAAGTAAAATAACATATGAATTAGAAACACTATTTTATATTATTAAGAAAAACAGACGCTACAATACATATTTTCAATGGTAGACGTCTTGATTTAAATCAGATAAATATGAGTTTCATACTCGTATGTAAAATACAGTGCAAAAGCACATTATATGATATTTTAGCTGTAAAAACATACGCTCAACAAAAAATAGCGTCTAATTTTATATTGAGTCTCACTTTTTTCTGATCAATCATTACTGAGATGATGATGTCACAAAATCACAAGCCTGGATGTGTATAGACAATATAAAGAAAGATAGAGAGCTCATGTTGGACTACATAAAACTGTACATTCGCGTCGTATGAATAACTTCGTAAATCGGTTGTTTCTCGTCTTCATCCTGAACAACAATAAAAATTGTGACTAACAAGACAAGTGTAGTAGTCTGACAAAATTTCAAGGGGGGAACAGCAGACTCCAGACATGTTGGAGTCCTGCTGGAGTCCACGGAGTCCCGGAATCCTGGAGTCTACTGTTTCCCCCTTGCAAAATTTTCTTTTCTCGCACTAAACATCTTACAATGGAATGAACTTTTTTATCTAATGAAACTAAAGCAGTCTTCTATATTATTATCGTATACTTTTCTTTTCATAAAAAAAGGTTCACTTGACGATGAAACTCGAAAGAAAGGCAAAATGTGA